CCTAATAAAACTGAATATCTCGTTTTACTGTTTTTTTTTTCTCTGGAACTACCATCTCGATTTGAAATATGTTATGTATAGCTTATAGCTTTCCTTGATAAATAAACTGGTCAAAACTAAAAGAATTTTGCAATTCGAACCAGTAGTTTTTGAGATTAGCACGTTCAACCAAATAAAAATTCTTCAGTTTTATAATATTAGTAGGTATAGATTTGACACACAAGACACTAACCTATATCAAGTACTGTTATAAAATATTATCTACATACGTTACGACTGGATAAACTAGGTTTCTTATTGTAAATGGTTAATTGAAATTGAAAATGACTACAACTGATAAAAAAAACTGTAATCTTTGTAATGTAAGAGCAATGATCCATACTAATATTAAAAATGCTACCTGTTACCTCGTCATGCTTAAACCGCTGAACTGATTTAGATGAAATTTGGTATAGTGATAGTCCGAGTTCCGGGAAAGGACAAAGGGTAGTTTTTATCCCAGAAATCACACTTTAAGGGAGTGAAAAGTTTGTATGGGGAATCAAGAACCGCTGAAGCGATTTAGTTGAAATTTGGTATGGAGATTTTTTACAGCGATAATCGACATTTACGTGAGCGGAGCTGCGGGCAAAGCCAGTATAATATAATGTACGAGTATATAGGCATTCAGTTAAATATAACATCGATTTTGTCCTTGTCTATGAGAGGTGATGAAGTCATGTCTTCATCGGAAGAATCTCATGAATATAATCTTAAAGACGGCTTTGTGGTCCAGTGTTTAGCGATCCTGAATGGTAAGCCAGAGGTCGTAGATTCAATTCCCATCCAAGACAAATATTATATGTAGAGCGCCGTCATTTGTTCTATGTCTGGATGTAATTTATTTATAAAATGTATGTATTTAAAATTATACAAGCGTGTTTATTTAAAAATATAAACAGTGCCCGTTTGAAGACAATAGGCTTACAACCTAGTACGTAAGTGGGACAAAAACTATTTATTTATTTATTGGAACGAAAAACAGTTAAATGTTAGATTATAACTAAATACAATACCTACCAAATTTATAAACATGTGACCCACAACCATAGAGCAACGGTCCGCGTGTGCTGGTCTATGCCCACAACATTGTTTCCAGATTAACAAAAACAATAGTACATCAAGATACTTACTAATTCTCGTACAAAGGAAATTTAAGTTTAAAATACAAAAAAAAACAGCAATACAACAATACAAATTCCAGCAGTAAATGCAGATTATTTAAATTAGGGATTCAATGAACGCAGAAGTTCAACTGCGTATAGACTTCTGTCTAACCCTTTAGGCGGTAAAATACGTGGTAATAGAAATATTGTATTAACATAAGTATTCTTCTCTTGTTCCTTGTGTAATATTATTGGTACTTTTATGTTACAATGTCATCGAAATGCTATGAATTATAATGATCTAGTTTAACAACAGGGGAGTGGAGATCCAAGCGTTGACACTGCGAACTTACTACAACCAGTACCAATTGTATCAAAATGCAAATTGCTCACAACAATTTAGTTAGGGCTAGAGCGCAGATGGGTTATTCTGTAAAGGTTCAACTACGGTGCATGGGTAGATCAAAGGCTTGGTATTCAGACACCTTTTGAATAGATTATAGCTTAGAGATTTTTATATTCAGTGTGTGTAGACGTATAGAAATCTCTACGGTTTGAGATCAGGAGGATTTTAAATCGTCTTTGTCATAATACAAGAAAAATCTGAATGCAAAGTCATTTATGCTTATACTAGTTGATACCCGCGACTTCGTTCGGGTGGAATTTGTAAAGCTCTGCCTTAGTGGGTTTGATTCCCGGACTGGGCCAAAATTTTGAAGGGGTTTTCTGAGAGGAGCCTAAGTTACTTCTTATATAAACAGCTACCTAGTAGTAAAATATCAAAATCGCTCCAGCCGTTTAGGAGATTATACCCACTTCCATAAAAAAAGAACACAGAAGTACAAAATAGTCTAGAATGTTTTTTTTAATTACTTTAAGTAGGTTATACTTGGGTAGCAACTCACTAGACACTCGGTGATGTAATTATATCGAAATAAAATCACGAGTCTATATCCAGAAGTTCAGATGTAATCTAGAAAGGCGCAATCATTTTGGTACGTAATTAGCCAGAAATGAGCTACTTTATATGTTGTTTTCTATCAGCATTTTCTCATTTTCCTCTGGTCCCTGGATAGAGCGTGATTTCTTTCAGAAAATAAATCCTAAAGCCCTAGCTAATACTTATATTTTATGAGCAAATTTCTTATATGGGTATAGAATACCCCATATTATGTGTTTGCCCTCGGTATATCGTACAGCGCAATACGGGCCTTAACAGGCAGCATCCGTCTTGTCTAGCTCAATGTTTGTTACGGGGACTCTTTGTCTCCGGCTAATGGAATGTATTTTTAACATTGGCCACTTCGAGGTCTTGGGGCCACTTAGTCTGGAATGGAAAAGGCGTATAAAGTTAATTTTAGTTTTAATTGAATGTTTATTTATATTGTATCGCTTATCTATAAAAACTATAAAATTTCTATTTAGGTGATAATAACCTCATATATTTCTATAAATAAGCTGTTACATAATTAAATGTGCCGTTAATATCAGTTGAAGTTATGAATAAATTAGCATATAAATAATATTCTGTAATATATATTTAATATATTAAGTAGCGAGCTATTGCATATATTAAAATATGGAAAATCTAAATATACACAAATGTTAAGTTGGTTTGTGTACGCTTTAAAAACTCAAAAAGTTCTTCACTGACAACTTTGACACATGATATATTTACTACACACTTTAAAGATGGTTTTTATCAAATTTTTTTTGCTACCACAATGGACCATAGCAAAACGTGGCAGGGATACAGGTACTATACGATAAAATAAAACGTGAACGTGTTTTTTTACACGGCAACTATGGTAAAACAACATAATTTTTTTACATTACTACCGGTATAAAATATCATTACCGCCTGACAACAAATGGCCGTTATACCTACCTCTGTTCCATGCGTCTAAAGAACAAAAATGTAAAAACATAGTACGTTATATAATATATCTATCATAATATAATTTATTTCAAATCTCTATGATACAGATGTATTATATATGTGACAATCAAGAACAATAGTACTGCATAGAAACTGTAAATGCCGTGATAGGCAGTTTATGTTCAGCCATCGGTATGTAATAATAAAAATAACCTTAGACGTCTTAAACGGCAATCTGATCCCAAAGTAGACAGAGCCTATACCATGGTAACCAGACTGCTAATAAACATACTCATATATTTCTCAATACATACACAATAAATGATCGTGCTTATCACACAATTATTTGTCCTGGGTGGGAATCGAACCCACGACCTGTGACTAAGCAGTTAGGATTACTTACCACTGGACTAACAATCAGTCAAGAATCGCCTTGATTGTTTGAATAGACCAACTTACATCAATAAATAAATAAAAAATAACTTTAGCAAGAAAGAAATCAAGTGCATCAGTGATCGCGCGTAGATTAGATTAGATAGTTCACGTTTGATTGTGTGCGACCTCTAAGTATATACATAAATATGTTCGTATATCTTCTAAAAGTCGAACTTTGTAAATACCTAATCAAGGGTGTTTTTACGGAAGTTGCATAGATCGCTAGCCTTGCAACAATGCTTACGGTACAATGTGCGAATAGCGCACAGGAATAGCGCAACGTCACACCGAGAGCGTGTGTCCTACTTAATGAGTCTGAGTAAGTTGGGTCTGGTTCAAGAAAGTCGTACGGTAACAGCTAATCTGTCTTGAGCTCTGTATCTGCTAATTGACGGGTTGCGCAATTAGCATAATACATATTTACTACAGACGGTTTTACTATAATTGAAAGAGGTGCAGATAAAATAGTCTAAAATTACCCTATGTTTTGCTTGCCATTTTAAAATCCAAGGTGAAGTTTTCTTTGATGTTACGATGCCGTACACATATCGGATATGTTGCATTAGACAGTATAATCACTTCTCATCCGAAACGCAATTTATTGCCAAAACAACTGACATCATGTCTTAAAATATAACGATTTGGAATAGCCTGATTATAAATTCCTGTTAAAAGTAGAAACTAAATCAGATTTAAAAGAAATTTTAATCTAGTGATTTTTGATGTAATCTCGACTAAGTCTACCTCGTAAAAGATCGTTTGAGCTCAGTTGATCCGACTCAGAAACGGAAAACTTGAATTTTAACTTGCATTATACTTGCGCTGCACCGAGTTGATTTTATAGTAAAACTTACCACAATAACAGTGTTTCACTTAAGATTAGTACTTGCTTCAGATATTATTCAAAAGGTCGGAAATAGTTCTACTTCCAGTTTTATATTTATTATCAAGAATAACAACTTTTCTATCAAGTTGCACTGCTACTTATTGAGTTATTTAATATGCTGATTTCGATAATATTGTAATTTTGAGGATTGGCCATTTTGCAATGAAGTATGTACCCATACCCTTAAAAGTACAGAATTAGCATTATGAGAAAAACAGACAGTTTTAACAGTTTGATATTTCGGTATTTTGCAGTGAGCCTGGCTGGATACTTTTCTTATGTGTGGTGCACGTGCCTTTTTTAAGATATAGTCCTAAAAAAGGTACATTATGCAACTTTTCAGGACTCCATAGCCAAGTGGAAAAAGGAAGGCACATAAATACATTCGCCCCCATTCTTAAAATGTTTTTGTAAGGAGTTTAGAAAATGTATTAAAATGGCTTTTACTTTTCATCAAGCACGCGACTATCCTGAAATCGGTTTGTTATTTGTTCTTACCTATTTAAGTTTTAACCAGGAAAACTCGGCAGACTATTAGAAGAAACCAACAACGTCTCTCAAAATTTGAGTAGCTTGTCCGTTTCTGTCCTAGATTAGACTCCAGACAACTACCTCGTGTATAGAAGGACGTGCGTATTACCACCGTGGAAGATCCATGTTTACCGCGGAAGAGAAACCTTTACCGTGGAAAAGCAATGGTTATCGTGGAAGAGCCATGTTTACCGTGGAAGAGCCATGTTTACCAATTACCGTTGAAGATCCATGTTTACCATGGCAGAGCCATATTTACCGTGGAAGAGCTATGTTTACCGTTGAAGATCCATGTTTACCGTGGAAGAGCTATGTTTACCATGCCAGAGCCATGTTCACCGTGGAAAAGCCATGTTTACCGTGGAAGAGCCATGTTTACCGTTGAAGATCCATGTTTACCGTGAAAGAGCCATGTTTACCGTGGAAGAGCTATGTTTACTGTGGAAGAGCCATGTTTTCCGTGATACTGGAGGCCCAACCTCCGGCTCCTCTAGGCATGAAGATACTCAATGTGTGGCAACGCACTTGTATCTTTTAAGTTTCAGGTGGCCATAGTTGTAGGTGACATTTTGCTCTTTTGCCTCCATGACCATCATACAAAAAACCAACCATACTTTACTTTCATAAAGTATTATCTTCTTCTGGCCCTCCAGTTTTTATTAGGCGCAATATGTAATACTGCAGAGGGTTTTGGCTGGTTCTTTTATGGCCGGTCACCTGCCTAACGTAAAACCTCTTTCCATTGAATGGGGAATTGGTTCTATTAGTTATCTATGTTCGTCCCATCTTAAGAGATAGCCAATAAGACAGAGGCATCAACTGACCAAACCACTTTCATAAACCATTTTAATTGATATCAAAGTAATATGTAATGATTTGTAAAAGTAGATTTAAAAAGAACTGGTCGTCCGACTCCGGTTAATAACGAAATGTCGTATGTATATCTTTTGTTGTAATAAAATTACAAGACTAAGGCTATCTAAATTGGACGCAATTTTATTTATAAAGACAGTGGTCCATGTTGAGTTTTCGATTCGGAGATGACATCAAGATGTGTTAATTTGATTCTACTAGAGTGTCTTCAGGCCGATGGTTACTTCTATATGTGCCACGACTGGCGACTATATTAATAGTACTGATCTAGCAGGCAATGTCTGGTTCTTACTCATTATAAGAGCGGTGTTACTCGAGCGTGGCTGGCACTGTACTCTGGCGGTACTGCACATGGTAAACTGGTACTGGTAGAAACGTGCATACAGATAAATGCAGCATATAGATAAATACAGGTACCCGTACGTTTTGATATTAGTAACAAGCTTTTGCCCGCGGCTCCACCCGCGTGTATTATCTCTTTTTCTTAAGACAACTCCCCAATTAGGAATATATCCTGTGTCGTGGAGGACTTTACAAACATACATGAACACCCAAACTCAGAACAACAATTTGTGGATCACACAAAGTGTCGTCTCATGTGGGGATCACTCAGCGTAGTAGTCAGTGGCGTGGCGACCGCTTAAACGACTACGCCATCCGTGCAGTCAAATTCGCTGACAATGTAGCTTACCACTGGTGAAAGAATATTTAAAATCGGTTTATCGGTTTAGGCGGGAAAGCGTAACAAACAAACTCACTTTCACATTTTTAAAATATAAGTACGGATTTATCATATTATTATGATTACTATGATTGAATGATATAACTGTACAGAGTTCTTACAAATAAACCAATACTCTAATCAATTTTTATACACACTGTGACATTTAAAGATCATGGCATCCGGCGTTCTCGTTCTTTCCATTCCTCAATCAGAACTGATCACTAGACTCCGTTGTATTGCCTAAAACGATATGACACACATTTATAAATACACCAAATACGTTATATTATCTTTGATTTATATACTTTTTATAACTGTTAAGCTTCTGTTCCTTTAAAGATTATATTTGTAGCAGACGATAAACAACCTTGTCCCATGCACCCACGATTTCGGTCACGAGTCTTTTCTCTAATAAACGCGCACTGTTCGAGGAAATCCGATTACTATCCTATTTAGAGGAAGACCTAAATATATACTTACAGTAAAAATTGATGTGTTTATTGTGTAAGTGATGAGGTTTATTGTGTGTATTGATAGCATTTCCTAATCATCATCATATAATTATGTAAATCCAATTCTCTTTGCATGACATACAAGAAACAACACATACAAGAAAAGGAAAAGTTAATTTGTCCTGGAACTCTGGAATTGGTCTATATTACAGGAATTGGTAATAAAATAATTCCTGGTATTTTCGGAGTGTCATACCTCGGTGATACAGTTGTGGGCGTATGGGAGGGATTAGTCCAGTTATTGCTATTGTTGTACAATGTGTAATCTGTACAAATAAAAAAAATTGAAGTGGGTGTTTGTACCGTCAAAATAATAGGTTTTTTTCATGCTAGTAAGGTTATTTGCACAATACCTATGGCTAAAAACCAGTTTAAATATTTTTTGTCTGTCTGTCTGTTTGTTCAAGGTAATCTTTAAAACGGCTGGACCTATTTTTATAATAACTACTAGGTAGCTCTCTATATAGGGAGTAACTTAGGCTATTTTTTCTCTCAGAAAAACATAAGAAAATCTGTTCCGGGAATCGAACCCGAGGCCTCATGAACTGCAGTTGCGTACCGTACTACACCAAGAGAACGCACTTTTCAAATGTGAACGAACAAACGAAGTCGCATGTACCAGTTTGTTATAAATATATACAAAAGCATATTTGCTTATGTATTCATTTAACATACATTTTGTACTGTTTTAATAATGATATGCATATACGAGTATATTTTACATGTATAATATAAAAATATATGTGTAATGTATGTGCAAATTAATAACCTCTGTACTCACAAAGAGTTGTTAAACCAGCACTTATTACGCATGAATTTGAGAGTATGAGTACAGATAACCGCCGCACTAGTGTTACGCCTGGTACTTCGAATCGATCGATTGTCACAATTTTACCGGTACCATTAATTATGCATGCGTCGGCTTCACTAATTAATTCTCATGCCATTGTTAGGCCGCTAAACAAAACACTGGACCATGTTCAGCTCTAATTACACCCGTAGGGCAAAACTAAGTAACATATTTAAAGTTGCCATTAAATCAATTTTGAGGAGGTTTCTGAGGTTCTAAACCTCAGTTTTATGTCTTACTACCTTTTGCCAGGCGCTCCGCCGTAAAAAAAATAGCCAATGTTACTTGCTGATAATGTAGCTTACCATTGGTTAAAGAATTTTTAAAATCGGTTATGTGGTTTAGGCATGAAAGCGTAACAAACAAACAAAGTCACTTTCGCATTTATAATATAAGTATGGTTGTATGTTACCTTAGAAATTCGTCTTTTATAAACCGATTTTCAAAATTCTAATTTTACTTCAAGTTTGATCACATTCAAATTTAAAGAAAAATACCACTCCTTAGAGTGAACAAGGAATGAAGATCAGTTCATCCAAACAACGAGGAATGAAGATCAGTTTTGTACAATTCGTCATGTTGTAGGCGAAATGATGTCAGTCAGATACATTTAAAAAGTAAAAAAATTGCCTACACTTGTTCGTGTTGTCGCTCTAATCTTAGAATGAACAGTTCGATTTCCGCTTAATAGCTTATTTACCAGTAAAAGTGTTATAGGATATATAAAATCGCCGAGAGGCCGAAAGAGCGGAGCAGTAATCATTAACGTCAACCAATTTGGTAGACTGTCGGCAAGCACGTGAAGCGAGATTTACGATATGTATTGTTCAAATTTAACGCCAGTAAGAAAACGGGGCACCGTTCGCATAAATACCAATATATACAGGCTGTCCACGAAAACAAGGCATTAGCTGTAAACGCTTATAGTATAGGTACCGGCACTGATCTTGAGCGCTGACCTTCACTTGCGCAGTAGTCGATTTTTGGTTCCCTTTTGAGGTATGAAGTAGGACGGCGTGCCAATGCAATCATAACGTCAACCAGTGATTGGCTTGGCGATATTGTCGCTGCTCCTGATTTGTTTTCTCGTACTTAAGTACGACGAGTACACTTCCGAGCAAATTAATAGGGTCTTTCTTTTTTTATGAATGATTTAATGATTAATAATATATTTGATTTAATCTTTCATATGTCCCTATAACAATACGACGATGAAGAAATGGACACCGTACCAATACCAGCTTCAAATAAGAAAGTGATTTTATGGAAGCTGTCACTCCTATTTCACCCTAATGATTTTATAAGGAAAATATTATTAAACAAAACTAAAACACGTTTTTTTTATTAAAATTTTAATTAAAACCCATTTTCTCTTACCATAGATTCAATAAGAAGTTACGTAATAGCTTTATTTCTATTCTAACTTTCATTCTATTCTAATTAAGAAAAAATAAATAATAATAAATGGGTGTGCATTTTATTTTGCCATAAGTGCACGATGAGCAAAGCAAACCCTACTCTGCCGCCAAACGCCTAAGATCCGCGCCGGTAACTATACTTGTCTTTGGCATTCAATTTTAAAAATAATTCTGACGGATGGCGTAGTGGTTTAAGTGGTCGCCACGCCGCTTCCTACTACGATCAGTGTTGTGGGTTCGATCCCTATATGGGACGACACTTTGTGTGATCTACAAATTGTTGTTCTGATTCTGGGTGTTCTTTGTGTCCGTTTCATATATGTTTGTAAAGTCACATACAGATACATTCCTAATGCGGAAGACGTTAATTAAAAAAAAGTATTGATAAAAAAACTATTTGTTAAAAAGTTACGACCGTTTAAAAGTTCAGAAATTACCACTGCTGTTTCTAATAAAAACAGGTAAAACACAAAAATGTAGTTTCACTAAAATGTTTAACTTTACTTTTAATGCACCTACATTTACACTTTAGAATTATTCAATCCAGTAATGAGAAAATCCTTAAGACCCAACTTCAAAAAACATTGCGGGTCTGTTGGTCTAGTGGTTAGTGATCCTGACTGCTAAGCCGGAGGTCGTTTGTTCAACCCAGGACAAATAATTGTGTGATTAGCCCGATGATTTGTTCTATACCTGGGTGTAATTTATCTATGATATGGATGTATTTAGAAATATATAAGAATGTTTATCAGCTGTCTGGTTATCATAGCACAGGCTCTGCCTAGTTTGGAATCACACAGCCATGTCTGAGATGTTTGAAGTTATTATTAATAGCAAAATTTTTGAAGTTTGTTTTATGAACGTACGTAACGTACGTAACTTACGTAACGAACGTACATAGCAAAACTAAACAATCCTTGGATTTTTTAAACTTTATGAAATCGTATAACCTCCAACAAATAATCCGCGAGGCAACACGAGTAACTAAAACAACATCCACTTGCATTG